TTTCCGTTTGAAACAGTTTATCTCGAAAACGGTTCAAAATAGAAATAGTATTATCTGAACAAAGTTAATTTAAAATTGGATGTAGAGCTCAAAAATGTTGAAATATACAAAGTGTTCTATTTGAAAAAATTTAGTTATGGTCATTTATCAAAGATACAAATTGAGACGTATTTTTCGGACATTCCGTATAAAATTAGATTTGAATTTCGTTCTAAAATAACAACTACCATACATTATCTCAAACTTGTCGGAATTTGAGTTCGATGTATCAGTTATTTCATGCGATATTAAATATAAAAAATACCATGTTTTCGTCAAAAAAAATTACAGAATAATAATTATTTTTAAAACGTTGAGAGATAGGTAGATATAGAATAAGTTTGACAAAAGTAATTTGGATTTCGGTGCATAATTCAAAAATGATATAATATATAGGTTGTTCCATTTGAAATTTCCAAGTTGATATCTATTACATGTAGATGTGGCAACAATGCGGAAATGGAAATATTTTCAAACAATAGATCACAGCCACCTACATCGGTAACCAAAATTTGAAACTACATCTTTTTGTCCTTTCTAGTACACCTAACAGACCATCGAATATGAAATACCCTGTATATGCACGCAAGAGGATGCCACTGATATAGTGGTTGAATCAGATTTGGCAACTATGTAATATAGTATAAAGTATGTGTATAGTAGTAATTTTCATGACATTGCATGAAGTTCGTTTTGGATTTAGTTAATTGCAGAGAAAAGTTTCATTTCGTTTATGTTCAGAGATCATAGTAATTGAATGATCGTTTATGAAACTAGACTGTGACTCACTCGATCCTCGTAGTCAACCTCCACATATTCATTTGTCAATTACAATATTCAATATGAAAAGTGAAATATTGTTTATTCATTAACTTCCGCCAGTGGTGAATATTATTTGTTATTCATGTTTTCAATGTCGTCTATCTGTATTTATGTTATTTTCGTATACTCGAATTTTAGCCCGTGTGAATAGTTCCTTACTAAAATATATGTTCAAATGAAGGATACTCCAGCAAAAATTATCGCTTCAATATGCAATATGCTAGAGAAAGTCAATATTTCAAAAATATAGTTATTCAGATATAATAAATTGACACTTGATATTTTCCCAAATTCTAGAAACAAATTTCACAACAAAACACTTATGTTTTGAACTTTTAACACCGTCTCAAGCTTTAAAGCTCCAATAAATTAAAATAACACACACTCTGTAACGTAGTAAATTCCTGTTTCTGACTTTCCTGGTCACAACTACTCCTCTGGGAAAAGTCGAAAATATATAGTTCAACACTGCTGCTATCGATTACAGATTTCTTTAACGGATTCCATAAATCGCTGTTTCTCAAGTTCTGAAATAAACGTGAAAGTTTATAGACGTTTGAGATTCGAGAATACAAACAACAGCTCCTATTTTCCCGGTTGTAATTGATGTTATACTGACACTCTTCTCTAGGTAAACAAGAAACACCAGATAATCGATTTTCAGAGGAAAGTAATTTATGTCTTTACAAAAAACGTTACACTCCTTGTATAGAAAAATGTACATACAGGGTGATTAATCGAAAACGTACCACAAGGCATGACTGACAGGAAAGAAACTCCAAAAATAATAATAATAAATGAATTTATGGACAACAGAAATAACATGATACGAAATGGAGTGAAAGTCGTTAAGTTTATTTGTTAGGGCGATATGTTCTGGCTAATAAAAGATCAACATCTCATGAAAACCATTCAAAGTTATCCGCACTCATGTTTGTTACAGGTTCCAGCCAAGATTTCGCACACCCTTCTGAAAAATCAGTCACTCGCTGCATCACGACAGATGGCGAAATCAAAACAATACCGAAGCGAAGTGCCGAAGAAACCGAAGCTGCTCACGACCTTCTTTCTCTCTCGCAAAGCCTACCGCCACTGCAACCTCCGAGCGTGGTCATGATACACCATACCATACCCTCAGAAGAAGACCCACCGAGCCCCACTCACTGCTATCGACCTCTTTCTCCAGAAGTCAGTCCTCAAAAAATCGCTCCCAAGCCTTTGAGTCAACAACCGCTTGTGCAACATCCAATCCACCAAATCCACCAACCAACACCAATTCGTGCCACGCCTGTCATCGTCCAAACCACGCAGCAAGTAGTAGTTCCCTGCCCCATCGTTTACGTAGTGGAAGTCCCTGGAGCAGTACCTACACCTCCAACTTCAGAATGCTCTTCAGATGCTGAAAACCTCCACATGGGCTTCGTGGAGTCGATGAATCAGAACGTAACCGTTATCACGGAACAAAGCGATGACATTATCATCCTTCCCTTGTCTCCGGAGCCAGAAGCAACTCGAGAGGAGTTTCAGAACAAAGCGGTGGTGGCATCTTCGCATCTGAACATTCCGGACCGGCGGAAAAGGAGCAACAAAAAGACCAATAAATTACACAAAACTTCAAAAAACAACAATGATAACTCGGCCAGCGATAACAATCTTGATTGCAGCAGTTCTGAAATTAATTCTACTTCCAAAACGGTAAGTCGTTCTTGGTGTCATATATTTCAATGCGTTTCATTTGGTCTCCTCCCGTTATTTATGGTACATAAACAGTGAAGCTGAAATGGGATTTAGTAGCCTGGATGATTGTTTTGGTTGGTTTCCTAGTTTTGCCGTGGTCTTCTTCAGTTATCGTCGTTTTGACTGCAACTGCGGCAGTCATCTGTGATATATATATTATTTGCTGTCTTGCATTGGAAGTTGGAGAGATTAGTAACTCACATTCCATCTTTCTAAATTCGAAACTTATCTCACAGTATTTTGATCATGAGTGTTTTTGACTTGATTTTGCTCACAGTGGGTTATTACACTGCGGTTCATTTGATAATTGAACTCTATTATGACAAAGGTGGATCCGCTAATATTACAGCGCAGCCGTTTGGAGGGCTGAATCCAGAAAAGCATATTGGTTAAACAGAGACTAATCTACAGACCATGATAGAATCAATCCCACATTGAGTACTGTGTAATTATTTCCAGTTTTCAACGAAAGCCGTGAGAGTATTCAACCAAAACCAAATCATTCAACGCTTGTGATCACTCAAACCACGTAGCACACCTCAGAATACAGTTCATATGCCGATGATGGGATTCATGGAGAATCATATCGTCACAGTTATCACAGTACAGAGCGACGACGTTATCGTCCTCCCACTGTCCCCGGAGTTTGAAGCAACCAGAGGGGAGTTGTTTCAACATTAAACGAAGGTGGCATCTTCGCATCTCAATATTCCGGACCAACGGAGAAGAAGCAACAAAAGGACCAGTAAAGTAGCTAGACATCAAAAAAACAACAATGATAGCACGGCTAGCGATAACAATATTGATTTTAGCAGCTCTGAAATTATGTCGACTTCGAAAACTGTAAGTCGGTTTCAGTGTCTCGAATTTCGAATGTCTGGTTTGCCATTTATATTGGATGCATTCTTCGGGTGTTGTACTTTGATATTCGAGCGGTGACACAATAGATATTTCGAAATGGGTTTCTGGAGCAGGGCAATAATTTTATTCGCTTTCATTTCGTCGCGTCCTTCGGGTACGCGACGAAAAACTTGTAAATGATTTGGGAGTTTGAAATTGACTATGAAATTAAATAGTTCAATAATTGTAAGGACCAAGCATTTTTCATAATGAAATATATCAGAATGGGAATTCATGTGTAAATAGGTAAACCCAGTTTAACAGAAAATTTGCAACAAACCGAAATACTTCCAAAGATACAAATAGCAATGCATTTCAAATTGAAAGTAAAATCATTATAATCCAAGAGAAATTGAATTGTTTCACTGAGGACTATTTATCATAGTTGGTAGCTCAGAAATGACCCTTTTTTTTCTGAGTATATTTTTAGGGGATTGAAGATAGCTAGTTTTTAAGGCCACCAATTTGTCTCTTGAATGCTTCATACTTTGCCATAAATATCTGGAAGAAATTCAATTATGTAATTAGCATGATTTCCATCAATTATTGATTTACTATATTGCTTTAATTGAACTCTTGAAATTCGGCGTTTCTAATGAAAAAATTACAGTGTTTCAAATATTCTGAACTATTTAGAAATGTAGTAAATATTGAAGAAAAGTAATTTTTTGTGAAGGAAAGCGCAGTATTTCCTATTGAATTTTCTAGAAATTTTCAACATCCATCAAATGAAAATGCATTCAAATTTTTTCCTGTTCGTGGAAGGTAGAAATTTAGATAAAGTTCAATGGAAAACTATGAGTTTCAGTAATATGGAAACGGCAGGTGCGCTAATATTGCACCACAGTTGTTCAATGAACCAAATCCATATAAGCGTATTAACCGAAAATACATCATTGAAGTGAAATTCAAGATCTGTGGAAAATGAACCTCAACAAGTGGGTGAAAAAAATTTACTTTTCAGTCACGTCATTATTGATCCTCCTAGGTAATTGACTACAAGTTCTAACATGGGCCCTCCAATAGTTTGAATAATTTAAAATCTATTAGTTACACACAAATAAATTTATCTTATTCACAACTTTCGCTATATAGGCTTTAGTTCAGGTAGGTAATGTTTACCAAAAATTGAAAATACTGATTTTTTGCGTAGTCAGGAGTGATTCTATGCCAAAGTTGGCATAACATACAAATTACAACTGAAAACTAAGAATATCGAGGAAATTCATAAAATCACTTTGTTTCTTTCAAGAAATCAATCAAAATACTTCATTTTTGTTTCCGTCAATACTATAGTTCGTGACTGAAAATTGAAAAAAACTTACTTTTTGTTGGAAATGGTAAAAATATATACCAATTGAGTATATCAACGTATCACTTCAACTTCTGTCATAATTTCAATGGTTCAGAAAGAATAGGTTGAAATGATAGTGTTTCGAGTGTTTGAAGGTGAACCATTAATATAACTATTATTTGGTTGAGTTTTGATACAAGGATCAACACTTGAGCTGAGGACAATCACCTATTCAGAAACTCCCAAGCTCCTCAACTTCTGCATGGTAGATAAAGTTGTCCTGAAAAAGAAAACAAGCCTGAAAGTGAAGGCGATGACATACCCTCCTGAGTAGATGTCATCTTCGGAATTAACTGAAGACAATCCTCGAATATCAAAGATGAAAAAGGCTCTCCAAGGTGGTCAGTTGCAAAGCCACGTTCGGTGGCCGATGTTGAAGCTCACCTTTGCAAATGACCGCCTTGAGGAGTCTCGTTCATCTTTGACATTCTAGGATTGAGTCTTCCGTCGATCTCATAGATGGCGGCTTCTCAGAAGATTTTTTTTTCACCGTAGTGTACGCATTCGGCAGAGCGTGCCGGCATCATCAATCAACGACCAATCCCCACGTCGTGGAGTAAGTGATCATTGGGTCCGAAAATCATGTGCCCTGAGCAAGCGCAGTGAGCAAAGAATGACAGCCCTCTGCACCTGTACCGTAAGGCATTTGACACAATTTTGCATGAGCTCATCTTGCATTTGCTCGGATGCCTTTCGATAACCGACAACATAGTGAGATGCATTGAACACTTTGGCGAACTCGCTTCACCATAACATCTGGTCAAGCAAGAGTCCAAACAGGGTGGGTCAGTTTCAGAAGGGGTGTATTTCGATTCCCTCAGTCCCCTTATCTTCTGCCTCTCACTATTGCCATCATCCGTTGCGCTCAGAAATACTTGAGGGTATAATTGTGGCACCCCCGGAAACTGGAAGCCCAAGGTCACCCATTTGTTTTATATTTATGACGACGATACTCAGTTGTACATAAAATTCAACGAGAATTCAATTAACGAGGCCCTATGGCAAATCAATATCGATCTCGATATGTTATTATCCTTATCAACTATTGTAATAGATGGAACAGAACTTTCCTTGAAAGGAGTTATAAAAAACTTGGGCCTATATCTTGACAACAGTCTTCGTTTCAAAACACATATTTCGCAAACTCTGAAAAGGGGTTATGCAAATTTGAAAATGATATATGCCAACAGAGCATATCTGAATGAAAAAGAGTAAAATTTTACTCTGCGATGCTTTCGTTCTTTCACATGCCAACTACGCAGACGTGGTGTATGATCCAGGAATTTTGACGAGTGGCAATTTTAGAATTCAAAAGCTCCAGAATGTACGCATCAGGTTCTTTACGGGTACGAGGAAACGGGAACACATTTTCCATCTCTTCGGGGTTGTGGGTTGGTTGAATATGGAATCCAGGCGAACATTCATTCTGCAAGATTTTTTCAAAAACTCATTTTAAAAACCCTTTTATCTTTTCAAAAAAATATCCTTTAGAACTTTAGAACACCATCTCAACTTGAGATTCAGGACACATTTAACAATACCACAACATAAAACTTTCCTATTCTGCGGATCTTTCACTAACCATATTGCCTACTCATATAATCGGATATCAATTGAACATAAACCTCTGCCATTAGGAAGCTTCAAACGAAAGATAAAAATATATCTTCTTACAATAATTAGATCCAAGTAATCGAATCATGTCGAAATCAATCAACCTTTTTCCAAGCTCAAAAACATATATATTTTGTTGTTCAATTCCGCTGTTTATACTATTGCACTGTTCTTGATAGCATATTGTTTTTTATCTTTTTCTTTTTTTCTTACCGTTGGATGGAAGAGCATTCTCTGCGATGATTTACCATACGCAGATATTGAATCCTGCAATTTGTTTGGTTGTAGTTGTATGGAGCCATCAATGAAAGCCATTATTGTTATTATCATCATCATTATTAATATCAAAGAGTCGATTGTGAATGCTAGAGTGGAGCCTTCGAAGATGGCTTAATGGAAGTCTTAAAAATTCTTTCTGAAATCGACCCAATTCAGAAAGATAGTTTTCATTCATAGTAGTATTTGCAATACCAATGAATATCTGTTATAGTTATTTCAAGCTTGATTTTTTAAAATGGAAACTTTATATCTCTGTACTCTACAAGTCGTTTTCTTATTCCGAAAACAATAAATTGGGATTCATTCGCATTCATTTCGAGAGTATCTACTACAAATATATCTATAAGGTTCTGAAGGTCCATATTGATTTCCTCTGCTAAGGTTTGCAAGTTGTTATAAGGAAAAGAAAAAAACCGAGTATCATCAGCATCCTGGTGAATAAAACAAGTCTGAAATGTCCAGTGAGAATGATAGAGGTCCAAGAACCGAACCTTGAGGAACTACATGAGTTACGAGAAATGTATCTGAGTATTGATCATCTAAATATATGGTTTGGTTTCGATGACTGGAGTAGCTTTTCGAAGGTTCCACAAATCCATCGCTAAATCCATAATATGCCAGCTCATTACACAACATATGATGATCAGTGGACATGAATAAATCCTTTAATGACTGCCGTAGAAGTGCTGTGAAGTATTCGGAAACTAGATTCAGTTATGATATGAAATTCGTTCATGAAGAGTTTCATTTAAGCCGTAAAATCAGCTCAAAAACATCAAGCAATAATGGAAATTCAGTAATAGGCCTTAAATAATACAGTTTGGTAAGGGAAAAACAGTGGCTTGTTTCCAAACTTATTGAACATGCTTTTTTTCTGAAATGGTGTTGAAAATATGAGATGGTTGAATGATAAGATAGTTCCCAACGACTTATAGCATAACAAGTGAAATATAATCAAATCTAATGCAATCTGATTCTTTTTATATTATTCAGATATTGCCTGACTTGAAAAGGTGACACTTAGGTTTATCTNGCCCTTTGGACATTGTTGAAATTTCCTCTTTGTTAAACTCTACTTTGGTCAAGTTACTGTTTCACTGAACTGGATATTTGGTTCGACTGATTCGTTATGTATGATATGTTGTTGTTTTTGTATTAGTGCCCTAAGTTTCTTAAAAGTGAAGATTGTGTATAAAAATAGCATCCAAGTGACTAAACATTTATGTTATGCTACAAAGTATTACTAATTAAAATAAAATTACAGTTGTGTACAGAGAGAGTGAGGAAATAATTTAGTGGCAGTATATCCATTGGTGTTCTAATATTTTGATAAATTCAATGTAATTTTCGAAGATAATTTTTTTTATTCTATAGTGAAGTTTTTATCATTTTCAACACGTTTTATCCTTAGGGGTAGAATATTACAATAAAATGAATAAAATCGATGACAAATATTTTTATTGAATTTTGGAGTGGAAATCAATTCGTTAATTGTACTTGTAGTAATATAAACTGTCGGAACATAATTATGAAATATTTTGTTTTTGAATCTGTCTGTTTCCTGTTTCTGTTTGAAATATGTTTTTCCGTTAAAAGGTAAGACCTCGTTAGGCCTTGGCTCGCACAAGTTTCTCAACTTCTGAGAGTTGTCGTTCGTATGGGGTTGCAGCTGATTAGCGGAAAAACAGATTTTAAACAGATATAGTAAACTATTAGGTATTGGTCCACCATCGTTATTCTTAATATCATTATGTTTATTTATTTCTACACTATCATAGGCATCTAGATGCCTGTTTTTGTTTACTTGTCTAACTAATCTTAATGAACTGAAATCNGAAGGACTACATCAGGCTTATTAGCTTGTATGAGCCTGAGGGTGGGGAACGAATAGTACCAATAAATTCAGCACTTCCCGTTTCCCACAACGGATTCAATATTTCCAGGACCGTAGGGCAACACCAGTGTCTCGTCAATACCGTAAGAGTGTCGTAGATGGTAATATAGCACTCTTAGGGCCGCGTTATGTCGATGGATATAGGCCGAAACCGCATATGCTGGACATGCTGAAAGCAAGTACATTCGGGTCTCGGGCACCTCGCGGCAGGCCCTGCACCTTGTGTCAGGAATATCTATATCGATCACGCGATTGCGGATAATATGCTTGAATTCGTGTTATAAGTTGTTTACAAACATCTTATACACACGAATACTCACCGCAGTTGACCGAGTGTTCGAGCGGATATATGAGGAGAGAGGGTTGAAGAGAGGAGTCGCTGGATGTAAAGAGAACCTGCTCATCGATAGATGTGTAACGCAGGACTCAATACAATATAAGCGTAACCTCTATATGGCTTGGATCTATTACCGTAAGGCATTTGATACAATATCGCATAAGCTTATCTTACATTCGCTCAGATGCCTACCAGTACCCGACAAATTAGTGAGGCGCATTGAACAACTGATACCAGTTTGGCGAACTCGCTTCACCATAACATCGGATCAAGCAAGAGTCCAAACAGGGTGGGTCACCTTCTCTTCTGCATCTCACTATTGACATTATCCGTTGCGCTCAGAAATACTTGAGGGTATAACTGTGGCACCCCCGAAAACCGAAGGCCCAAGGTCACCCATTTATTTTATATGGATGATCTTAAACTTCATGCCTCTGGAGAGAAGGATCTCCATCAGTCCTTGAGGGTGGTGGAAGAGTACACGCATGCTATCGATATGAAATTTGGGATAGACAAATGTGTAATGGTCCATCTCAAAAAAGGACGATGCGGGGACTACGGAGAGGATGTGCAGCTCGTAGATGGAAGCATCCTACACCATTTGGATGTCGAAGAGACCTATACTTACCTCGGGGTGGAACAACTCCACTCACAAGAGATAACAGCAGTAAAGAATTCTCTCGGCGGTAAGTATCAGCACAAACTTCGACAGATCTGGTCATCGGGGAAGAACGAAGTTGCTGCAACAAATATGCTGCCATTTCGATCTTATTCTACTCGTTTGGAGTAGTGACGTGGACTCGGGAGGAGCTGTATCAACTCGACGTGAAGACCCGAAAAATGAATAATCTCTATAGAAGTTTGCATCCCAAATCGTCCGTTCCACGGTTGTACTTCCCAAAACAACAGGAAGGCCGTGGACTTTTGAGTTTAGAGTACATGAGAGAATTGTACTGTATATAGCCTGTAAAGTTGTCAACAATTCGGATCCCCTTCCTCTGCATGGTCCGTGACCATGAGAGAGCAGGAATTGGAGCATATCTCTTTAGGGCAGCTGCCCGAGCAGCTGATGAACTCGATTTAGTTTTCGACACTGAAAAAGGTGACCACAACTCTGTCACCGAGTTGGAACCCGTTCAGCAAAAAGCTCATGTCAAAGTCGCAGAGATCACTTCACTTCTGCAGAAACACAAGAATAAGCCAATGCATGGGATCTTCTTCAATAATATTGGAGACCTTGGCTTATCAAAACGCTTGACGTTCGCTTTTCTCAGGTCGAGTGGGCTGAAGTCGGAAGCTGAGGGGAAACTCAGACTCTATTCAGATCACTCTGTCAAGATGGTTGTTCTTTCACACCATTGAAAACCTTGGCTCATCAAAGCGCCTGACCTTTGCTTTCCTTAGGTCGAGTGGGCTGAAGTCGGAAACTGAGGGGTTCATCATGGCTTGCCAGAATGGTGTCTACAACACTAAAAAGATTATTATCATTATTATTATATATCACATGAGTCAAATGAGATGTCTTGTGTGAAATCGCAAAATGACATTCAATAATAACTCTGTAAATAGTCAAGTCAGAAGAGTGGTTAATTCATTGGAAATATAAATGGAGTTGACATATTTCACGAACTTCTGCCAAAATCTACTTGTACCAATGAAATAGACTTACATTCTCGTATCCAGTATATGAAACTGTTCATCAGCTGATTATTATGAATTTGATTTTCCGTAAAAATTTCAACAAGGAACAGTCTCCAAAAGTTTTTTATTATTAGCCCTTCACTGCAAGAATGAAATCTTTTTTTGAATCAAAAATAAATTTGACGAGTGCAGCCGTTACTACGTAGTAGGAGATCATCATGAAAAATGAGAAATAAACCTTTGTTTTCTATCACTTTTATTTGTAACTAACGTTAATGCAGGTTCGTCCTATGAGGACATTCCCAAACGAATACAAGCAAATCTAGCAAATAAGGCGAATCAAGCAAACCTAGAGTTTCCTCTTTCACTACTGGGTTGACAAGATTTCTAAGAGAGGCTCATCCAGGGAAAAATATTCGAATGGTCTATATGACTTCATTCAAAATTAATGTTCAACTTTCTTTCCAGAAATTTTTCAAAGTCGTGGAAGACGAAGAGGATGAAGAAATCGACGTCGAAGGTACCAGCGACCTGGACCCATCGAAAAACCGTTACGTGTGTGGCGAATGCGGAAAGCAGTACGCCACCTCCAGCAACCTTTCCAGGCACAAACAAACCCACCGGAGTCTAGACTCGCAATCCGCGAAGAAGTGCATAACTTGCGGAAAGGCTTACGTCAGCATGCCCGCCCTGGCCATGCACCTCCTCACCCACAAGCTCTCCCACAGCTGCGGGATCTGCGGTAAGCAATTCTCGCGGCCGTGGTTGCTCCAAGGCCACCTCAGATCGCACACAGGCGAAAAGCCTTACGGTTGCGCGCACTGCGGTAAGGCCTTCGCTGACAGGTCGAACCTGCGCGCGCACATGCAGACGCATTCAACCGACAAGAATTTCAGCTGTACGAAGTGTCAAAAAACTTTCGCTTTGAAATCGTATCTCAATAAACATCTGGAATCCGCGTGTATGGTTTTCGATTCGAAGACGCAGCGGTATAAGAAACTTACGGTTCACGCCGAAACTCAAACAACTATTGTTGTTGACTGAGTTTGATATTTTCACTGCGCTATGCTCAAAATTTTCACCAATTGGATATTTTTTACGTTTAGCAAAATTGATATTGGTAATTTCTAACTCTTGAGTAGGTTTTAAGAGTTGATATATGCTGTAGTTGCATCTGATTCACCCTTTTGCTATAATTCAAGATTCTTTCTTCAAATACGACTTCAAGTACGACCGTAGTTTTCAATTTGTAGAAATGTATTTTTTATCGATAAATATTGATCAATGTTAGACTGAGTAACTCACATATTTTTCATTTCTAATCGATTTCCTACATCACTCNTTCATAACTACACCAAAGGTTCCAAACAGTGCATCATCACTTCAAGGTGATTTTTTCACTCTTTGAAGCTTGATACCAAACAGTTTTACTACAGTAGGGATGAACTACGATGTCTAACAGGGCTTCTTATATTGGTCACTGTCATTTGAATCATCATATGCAGAGACTCGGACTGTCGGAAGGCAGTGTGTATCGCCTCTGTTTGAAAAATGATTGAACAGCAGAGCACATACATTTTGCCTGCCCTGCTAGAGAGTTTGGCAGTGCCGTACTATCACCATCTGACCTGAAAGACCACTCCCCATAGAAATTAATAGACTTCGTTAAAAATCTGGCTTCATTTGGTCGAGTTTTAATAGGTGTGAGCCACTTTAAACCCTTGTGGGTTGCGGTGGAGGGTCGAATACACTCACACACTTTTGACCTAACCTAACCTAACCTAATCTTCAAGACTCAAATACATTTCAAACAGAAATGTGCTGAATAGAACCTGGTATTGGTGAATCCTTCAATTGTGCATATTATCAGTCAGTCTGGTGACTTTTAAAATGTGGATCTTAGCTGACTCAGACCTGTAAGACGATCACTATGGTAACTGTAACATTGAAACTTCGAAATTGATTAGTATTATAGGTGAAATATCTGCACTGGAAGGCTAAAAAGTTATTTCGAATATCACATGCAGCCCCATATAAAATTTTTGATTTCCTCAAACAACTTCTGAATCTTTCCGACAGAATCAATTGTAGATAATGGCAGATAGTCGTTTGGAGAAATTCACTCCTGAAAACAGGTGTATAGCAAATAGTTATTGTCTCTATTGAATAATAGAGCAACAACACCAAATACCATCCTTTGAATCCGTTCTGCTATGAACAGGAGACGATATTTTTTTCTATTCATGATAATCATTACAAATTCTCACAATATAGAATTATTTTTCAATAATTGTTATTTCCAATAACAACAAAAATTAATTTATGTAGAACCTGGTGAAACAACATATTGTAAGTTTTGGCGAGTATCATATTCAACAACACCTAGAAGTTTTTCAGGAGTCATTGATTACACAATATAAGTTTATTAAACAAACACACATTCAAGGATTGAAATGGTTAAATGCGCCGTACGGAAGCTAAGGCCAAGAAAACCTAGAGAGAGAGGGAGAGAGAGAGAGAGAGGATTGATAAATATGACAATGTTGTACTCAGTACATTATTTAGAGACTCCACTTGAAGAAATTAAACGAATATTGAATTATAACACAGGGATGAATCAAATAATACAAGCTTCGTAGCTCTTAGATTTCAATTTCATCAGATATCTTAAAATTCCAAGATAAAAAGGCGTAAAGACTACAGTAGTCCGGCAATAATGAGCAATATTAAAATACTGAGAAAAAAAACGCTTATACTTACGTACGTAAAACTCACAAAATAATTTCGATTTTCGAAATTTAAAAGCAACGAAATTATAGTTGTAGACGTCAATTCCTAAAATGTTATTGTATACCCAGTATAATCACACGTAATATATTACAGAAAGTGAAATTAAGTGAGATAGTTCATTAGTATTTTGAATAGTGTTAATATGAGCTAGTCCAAAACTGCTTTAAGTCATTAGTACAACCATAATTTATTTATTCATGTATGTATTTATTTATTTATTTATTCACTTATTTGTTCATTTATCTATTTGATTATTCAATTGTTCAATCCCAACCAAAATTTTAATCAAATAATCAGCGTCCTCTTTGATTTTCCACACAGAATTGAATAAACAATTTGTTCGTAAATAAAACTGAATTTTTTCCTGCTCCATTGTTGTTATTTTTTTTTGAAGAAGGCGCTGAGTAGACTGTTTTTGTTCATGTTAATGAAGTGTTTTTGTCATTTAGCTGATAATGCAACGAATATTCATGAGTTTGATACATTGAATGGTTTCCACACCAGGATTGAGAATATATATTTTTGCATGTAAATAGAAGATTTGGAAAAGTTGAGAAAGAGACATTATCTCTCCTCCATTGAGATAGTGGAAAGTATGAAAAACGAATTGGAATAGAAAAATAATTTTAAAAAAATTCTATATCGGGAATCCCTATCTGTGAACTATGACCTTCATTTTCAGAGTTGGTGTGGTCAAATGGATAACGAATACTTAATATCGATTTTGAAGGTGACAAGTTCAAAGAGTTCTTCCAGTTGACACTCCTTTTTATTTCCCCATCCGAAGTCGACAACACGAAAATCGTTATTATTTTGTCGAATGTGATGAAAATCACAAACATATTCAACTTCTTCATTTTTATAACAGACGAGGCATGGGATGTGTCTCTGGTCAAAAAAATCCGGGTATTTGCTTTGGGTACTCCTCCGCTTCATGTTCGAGTATCTTCATTACGAAAAACTATTTGATTCAGCTTCTTCAAAAGCACTAAAAATGTGGGACCAATAAAATCATACTTCACGTTGTATGGACATATTTTGAGAGTACAATTACAAGGTAGCACCTGTACATACCACAACTCTTGAGATCTTCACAGGATCAGTTTTATGATCTTACAAATTTCACCTGATTAAACTTTTTCCACTTTCCTTTCTTTCAACATTGTATCAAAAAATTTCAAATGAAGAAGACTTCTCTTCTGATAATTGTTTTACTTTGTACTCGACAGAAATGGAAACTCTCTCTGAATTTGATTTTTTATAATACTGTTTTTTCTATTATGTTTCACTTTCTTTCACCATCCTCCTCGTCCTCATTATCTTAACGTTAATGTTCATTTTGTTTTCGTCTGATTTTATACCTGCACTCTGCTTCCATCCTCTCGCTATGAAAAATCTTTCGAATCAAAATATGAAACATCATATCCAGAATTGGATATCTCGAAGCGCTCCATCTTCAGCCTTCATCAGTTTCTCAAAACCAACTCATTAACTTAACCGAAAGTCATATTGTGTGACACATTTTTGTTTGTCTTTTCGTCGTCATCATAATCTTCCAAAATAAAAGAACTTGAAAACCAAACAGAAAACAGTTTCTAATTGCATAACACACTATCAGGGTGTCCCTGGACTTCCTCTTTTCCTCTCGGGAATGTATAGATGGGGGCAAAATATCACCAGTACTTCATATAACTTTTTTTCCTAAAATCCTTCGTTACCAAGTAACGGGCCCTCGAAGTTACAAAATGAAAAATTCAAGTCGAGAAAAACATGAGACGGAATCTGTTTATGTAATTTTGTGATTTGAGATCTCAGTAAAATTATCGGATCAATATGTTTGCATACAGTCAAGCCGCACTTGGGGCAATCTAAACACTTGTACCTCTTCTCCTCGGACTTTTAGAGTTCCTAGTTCTTTTATCCAACGGAAGGATCAAGGTGGAACCTATACAGGGTGTAACTGAATAAGTGTGAAACACTTATTTCTAATGTAACTTTTTGTCTTATTATTTGTTTACCATTTTAAAATATATTTCCGATAGCCTGTTTCATTCTAAACAAAACATGTTTCTTGGGTTTTTTGCCCAAAATGAACCAGTTCGCAGCAAAAAATTATTTTACGAACAACTACTGAGATACATCGTCATAAATGCGAACTGGATTTATTGTTATTTTGTAGTTAGTACCTGCATTAAACGATTAAAGGGTAATAAACAAAACTAATAAATTTCTGGCTAAGTGTCTTTTTGGTAGTAATTTCAATATTGTAACTTCCTTAATGCTCGTGAAAAAAATTGTTATACAAATTTTATATACCTCCTTCAAGGGGATGTATCTTAACAAGGGATGCTCCAATGAAATTTCTTTTTATGAAAGATCCTATCTTTTTTTCGATGAGGAATCACCTCTTCAAATGTTTTACACTTATTCAGTTACACCCTGTATAATCGAAATGAATGGTTTAGAATGAACAAATTGAATACTTGCGTAATATTTTCAGGGTTGTTGCAGGTATTACCTACTTTTCAGGTTTTTGGAGTATTATGCAGTATTTTTAATATTCGACTTTTCAGGTTTTGAACTAGTACAGTGGGTTTTTCAAGTTTCACCTTGGATTCATCTTGCTGATGACGTTGAAACTGTTGTTGTACCCACAGTCGTATGACTGTGGGTACAATCAAAAGAGTCTTTGAATTCAGTTATCACTAAATTTCTTTTCTATCCACTCCATGACCTGTATCTTGATCAATTCCGAAACGAGATTGACTTCTCTCACAATGGAGATAAATACGCTTTTCTTCATGAACTTTTTTACCTTTTGTCAAACCTCACATTGCACCTGTAAGACTTCTTTCCAATTTTTGTTATTAGATTTGAACGTCGCAAGTTAGTTCATCAACAAGTTGGTTTTACTACTTTTCCAGATGTTTCTGATCTGAAATTATTTCCACATAGAGAAATATTTGTTGTTCCAAACATATTGTATGTACTTCTAAAACTATAATGATAATGATAATGATAACAATCTCCTTCGTTCAAATGTTCAGTATATTTATTGTTGAAAAACTTTTATAGGAAGGCAGAAAAACATCAAGCAGGACAGACTTTTTTCTACTATTCGGAAGCCGTTTTACTTGTCCATTTGTTCCAAATCTCCAACAGTCTATCCAATAGTCTTGTGCATTATGAACATAATTTGGGTTGTCCATAAATGTTCGCATAAAATATGATGAGCTGTCCTTGCCCCTTCATTG